ATTAGTTTGTTCTCAGTACTTTGGTATGGGAGGGAGGGTTTGATATAAATGGGCAAAATTATTTTTTTGTCATTTTGCTCATACTAAAGATTCTATTAAGCATCTTAGCTGTCTTATGAGCAATAGTATATAGCTTTAGTATCTTTTGTATATACATTGAATAATAAACCAAATACCAGAAAACACAGGTTTATAACTATTGACAGTGTTCTATGTGTAACACCAAACCCACTACCCATGATCAATTTATTCTGATAAACAGACAATCAAGATTATGTATAAATGCTAATACTATTAGTATTTTCAAACAATTGTTAGAATGGAACAGAAATTATTTTAAAAAATGGTATGAAAAATTTAGTCCTAAACACTATTTATAAACATTTGGTTGATAGTGGCATACTAAAGAAGGGTAATTTAAAAAAAAACCTGAAATGCTATGAAAAATATACTTAATGAGACTGTGTTCTAAGTCAAGTAATTAATTCAAACAATTTTCTGATAAAAATGCTTAACTGCTAACCACATTAAAATGATACCATCAAAGATAGTTATTTTATGATTACTGATAAGATCAAACTCAAGGTTACAAATTTCAGCAAGATCAACTTTCTAAAAGGAAGAAGATTGCATTTGTTGGAGGATAGACTTAAATGTTTAACTTTTAAGAATTTGACAGTTCTTGGTGGAATAGACAATACTAAGGTATACAGAAATGTGGAACTATGAATGATTATTAAAAATGAACTAACTTCAAGTAAACAATTTTAAGGCTTCAAAAAGTAATTTATGGAAAATAATGGTTTTTTAACCATACAGATGGGAATCTTTTGATAACAAGAGGGAATCCTCAATAGCTGGAGCTGTAATTAGATTTCAAATTGATCAAGAGATAGAGCTATGAGCTAAAAGTTTGTACCTGAAAAAAAAAACTCAGCCATTTTATGAGCCACAGCTAAAAATAAAATAAATGTATGGTAGGTTTCTAACAAATGTTTCAAGAATGTTTTTATAAAAGACAGTAAGCACAAAATTATTTTATGCAATTTGTTTAATGGTGGAAAGGAGCAAATCTTGATTTATACTGAAGTGAACAAAAAAATAATGTCTTAGAAAAATTACACAGTATAAACTCCCGAGCCTAAATGACTTATCATGCCACAAGTTAAACCTGAGTAATATTACACTAAAGCTTCAAGGTTCAATTTTCAAAGGTCACTGGATAGCAGAAAAATTACCATTGACTGGAAACTTATTATTGTGGCTTCTGTTCAAAAAAAAAGAAAGGATTGAAGATGAATGTAGAAAATGACAAAACTGTGTGTTAACTTCCTTCACTGGAACTTATTGTTAGAATTTGTCACACGCCACTCAGAACACTGTTGTTGGTGAAAAAAAAAAACTTAAAAAAAAGGGAAATAAAGTCTGTTGTCTTAAAGTTAAAATGGTCATTATTCTGACCTGAAATTGTGTCCCTCAGAGATCAGTTATTAAAACTAGTGGAATTTGATAACTGATTAATCTTTGGGGTCATTAACTGATTATATCGAACTGAACACTTGTTACAAGACTTGGATAGTTGGAATAATCAAAAATAATAATTATAAACCCTAATTTTGTTTAATAATTTTTGTGAGATTAATCCATTTAATCATAATTTCAATTACTGGATAATTGGAATAGTCAAAAACACTATTATCTTCATGATAATTTTCATTAATTGATTATTTAACATGACACTAATCATTGCTCATAGGTAATTGATTATACTGATAAATCTCTGAACTATAAAATTTATAAACTTGGTTTTTGTGTAAAAGAAGGAGATGGGCTTAGATATGTTTACTGATAAAAAAAACAAAAGCTTTAATCAAATGTTTAGCTAAACAAAAAGTTGCTAGTGTTATGCATAACTCATCTTAAAATTAATAACAACTAGCTGACATATCTGTTCAACATACAAGGAAAGCATGAGGGGTCAGATACAAATGCCAACCCTCCTATGTCACCCCCAGGGGACCCTTAGGGTACATGCCAGGTTTGGTGACTATCATTCTAGTGCTTTGCCAGTTATAAGTAGACACACATACACAGACTTCTGTCTAATAATAAAAATGATAAAGCTATTATCTTATATAAGAACCAACGCCATTTTGGCTTATCACTGTGAGACCTGGATTTTGGGCCCCCCCATATTATGTACCAGACAGTGATAAACTTGTAAATATGCAGAGAATGGTTACAAAATAAAGAGTGAAATGGAAAGAGACTTAGAAGGAATTTGATTCAAATGCATAAAATAATAAATTTAGATAAACTACCCATAAAAAGTAGAAGTAATACAGTTGGAAATAAGACATTTAAAAATTAGCATAACATATGGACAAAGGTTTGTTTGTTCTTCATGGTTGTCCTTACACATCCTTGAGGAAAGTAATAATTTAAACCCACCTTTTATTTTACAGAAAAATCTTAAATTCCCCTTTCAAACTCCTGTAAAGTACTGGCACCCACAATTGTCAACAATAACTCATTACATAACTTAATCACTGTTGCAAAAATAAAACTGTCTTAATCTGTTCCAAATCTTAAATATGGGTCTTCATATTATTTTCAGAATATAATACAAAGAAATCAGACAACTTTATCCTACTGATCTTCTAAATAATCTTGTACACTTTAATAAGATCACCTCTTGTCCCTTCTTTATCGAAAATGAAATAATAAAAAACACTCAAAACCTCACACATCTAATAGCCTTCAGCAAAAACCTTTCCATCAGCACCCTTTATGGGCCCAAACCCCATTTTAACATTTTGTTTACATTTACCATACTTAAAAATATCCTTGATGTTAACTTTAATATTATCAGCTAGTTGTTTCTCATAAGCCCTTCTTTTTATCCAATTCCCAGGTTTCCTCTAGTTCTGTAAACTTTCCAACCTATTTGTGATTTAAACTTTCTTAACTCATAACACTTATACCTAATTATCTCTTTAGTAAACTTTGATTATTCCCATTATCGTTCTCTTTTCCGGAACATGTGTCTATTGAATTAAAAATTATTAAACAGTTACAACTATATCCTCATTAGTGGTCAACAATTAATCTAAAATGGCCTCCACCCCCATTCCCCAAACCCAGTTGGATCTCTGACCATTTGGTATAGAAAACCATCCCAAATCTCAAGAAATGTTTCTCCATCACTACATGACTCAAAACAATCCTAAACAATGTGTCTAAAATTAGTCTCCCATAACTATTACATCAGTATTCTGATTTCATTATACAATTTCTCAATAATCTCATCTGTCTGATCAGGTGGCCTGTAACAACTGCCAATTAAAAACTTTCTTCCATTGAAATATCTGACTGTAACCCACATAGATTCTACCATTGTTTTATGTTTCCAATCCTAATTGGCTACAGTTCATCTCTTATACAATAAGCCACCCCACCAATCTTTTAAAAAGTCTATCACTATTACATAATTTGTAACATGGAGTTTCAAAATAACTCCGATTGTCAATGTTCCCAATTTATGTAACAAAGTTTCAGTAATTTTCATTATATCACAGTCTTCCATTTCAATTAGATCCCTGGACTCATTCATTTTGTTCCCGATACTCCTACTATTAGAATAATAGCAACTAAGTATATTCTTGGACTTACTATGTTTATCTTTAAATATTAGTTATTTTTAAAATCATTACTTAATTTGTTATTCTTCAAGTCTCCTATTTCAAACTCCCTATTGTTCTGGTTACCACATCAGTTTATTTATTCCCAAGTTCCCTTACCACAATGCAAGTTTAAACCATTTTTCATGAATGTACTCAGAGCATCTCCAAGCATTTTAATACCTAGCCTACTTAACTTCAGCCCACCTCTAGCATTATAATTCACATTTACCCTGAAAACTATACCACAGGTCTAACCATCTCACCTACCACTCTAACTATATCCATGACAATCGTAATCAAGTTCACAATGTAAAACTTTTTGGCCAACAGAAAAATAAAATAGCATCTCAATCATTACGGTGTCTTTTGTATCCCAGCCAGTTTGAAAAACCTTGATATTGGGTGAAAGGCCTCATAAACACTGGATATAGCACTTTCACTGGCAAGTTCTTATTAATAATTTCACTTAGGCCTTTAATTCTGTTACATAATTCATTACAGCATCTAGCCTGATGAAGCACTACCACATATCCATTTTTATTCCTAAACCTTTAAAGGAACCATTTATACTTTAAAAAAAGCTCTTTTGGTTTACAATTTCCGACATCATCAAAAAGATGTTTCTTTTCACCTGCAACTAAATTGTCAACATGTTCTTTAACATTTTAGACTTCAGCAACTGGCAAACAAATTCTAGTTTTAATCACACAATATTTTTCCATTACAATTTACCATCTGTATACTTAGTGAGCCCCTGCTATGCAAAATAAGTACAAGTTTTGAAAAGTCAACAATATGTGTCCTTGTTCTTAAGCAAAAATACTTCTCGGCCAGTAATAAGTGATTATTAAATGTTTTGCCTCATAACGTTGTGAGAATACGCTGTTTTCATTTAAAAACTTGATACATAAGTATGTCTGGATGTGTATGGGTTGTTTTAGCTTGACTTGGTAGTCTTTGTTACTATTCAAAACGTATTGACGGTTGACTTCAATAAATAGCCTAAACAATTATGTATTCAATTTAGACATAAATTTATCACATTACTGAGTAAAAATGTCCACAAGGTTTTTGGTAAACTTGCATGTTCAAGCATTCCTATTACTCTATATTAATACTGTAAAGCGTAATCTGAACATTAGTATCTATTAGTATTACTAAATAATTCGTTTTACATAGACTGCAATTTGAAGTTTGATCGCATGGCTTAACTTAAAAACAAATAAGCAATACGATTACTAACAGTACTAGCCTTATCTAAGATTACGAAACGTCATTTATAATTTTATTTAACTTTAAAGCAAATACTATACTCACCAAATGGTGATTTAGGAACACGATTTTCAAATCCAAACTTCAAAATACTTGGCAAAGTACACCTTTATAAAATCAAAGTCTCCTTACAAGTAACAGTAACTTTTCACAAAATTGGCGATTATTACTGCAACCTCTATAACAAAAATTCTTGGAGCATTCCAAAACAACCTGACAACAACAGTTATCCTATTCCTACACAACTGAGTACTGACGAGCGTCAGCCATGTTTCCTCGGCGTCATGCCCCCAACGCGGCCAAGCAACGGTTCATGTCGATTACAGCACTCCCGAACGTACAAAATACAAGCTGTCTTCACTTGTGTCAGTTAGGCTTAGAAAACTGGGTCCCGCAGACTGGTGGCAATATTCTCAAATTTTGACGATCGATTGGTGTATATAGCCAAGATTACAAACGTTATCCTACACGCACATTTAAACAAACAATGAAAGCCAGCAAAAACTACAAAGGTATGGATCTATTTTGTAACCAACAGAATAAAACTAAAAACTTACATCCCTCAAAATAATTTCCGTTTAGTTAAATTTTTGTCTCACGCCTGCACAACTGAAAATTGTGTGGCGGGAGTTTGTGAAACAGAGCCAAGCTTGAGTAGCGGTCTCCTATTGTCTTTCAAGGTCACGTGCGCCATCTTTCGACGGTTGACTGACTTACACTTGCTACGGACTTAGACCCAAAAGAACGAAGAGAGTGGCATTTCTGGTTTGGAAGGTAGTACAGGTGCGTACAGCATCGAACGCTGAAGTTTAGAAATATAAATCAAGAAAAGAATTATACATATTTTCAAACTCACTCATAAACATATTTTATGATTGCATATACTGATGGAGTTTCAGCCTTAGACTCAGTGAACGCAAAGAATGAAAAAATGTGAAAAACACGTGTATGTGTGTAAGTCAAGCTATCATTATGTGACCGATGCAAGATGGTAACCGTAGCTGTATTCCAAGAGCAAGTGTATCACAACTTTTTGCTTGACAAATTTCCATGATTGAAAGCAAGAATGTTGATACAATGAAGAATATTATCATTCCAAAAATTCTTTTCCGAAATAATATACTGTATAGAAGGTTTACGGTTAAAAACGCCGACAGGTGGCAAGACATTGGAAACCAAAAGGCCTAATATTTGTAATAAAAATCACATAAACTACAGGTTTTATGTTTGTTTTTGTTGTTGTTGTTTTTTCACATTCCTTTTAATTTGTCCATTTCATATTCAAATTTGGAAGGCGTGTGAAAAATAGCATTTGCAGTTTACAAATATCATCAAATGTATGCAACTGTTGTATTTTACGACTGATTTGTGTTTGAAAACTACTGAAAATATTTATATGCTAAAAATAAGTAGTAAACAGTTTGAAGATAATCATACCTGAGTAAAATAGTATTCCCCCGCCGTTCAAAGGTAAGTTTGTTTGGTGTTTTATAGCAAAGCCACATTGGGCTATGTGCTGTGTTCACTGCGAATATCGATCCCCGGATTTTAGCGTTTTAGATAAATATTAGATCTACCGCTGACCCATCGAGAAACTCGGAAATAAGTCCGAGAGTTTATAACGCTAAAAATCTTGTTCCATAAACATCAACATACTTTTTGAAAAGTTCACTGAGCTCATGTCTCTTTGTTGAATTTAAATCATTAGCACAACTCTCAGTTACCGACGTCAGATACTCTGAAAGTTTGAAAGTTGAGTTCACAATTGTAGTAAAATCGTTGCAGTACTAGCTGCTCAGCTTATTTGCATCACTCTTGCTCTCATAATCAAACCGATGATTATTTCAGCTGGGAGCTGAATAGTCAAATGTCTGTAGTTACATACTAAGACAGATACAACACCAAAACTCTAGAAGATGGTAAATGTTCGAGTTTCAGACAGAAAATATTGTTTCGTGCATTAGTATTATAACCATCATAAGCCACTAAACTGCATCTGCAGTGCATCATAAAACAACACTTGAATGTTAGCAAGTATCACTATGTCCTCAACATGCATGATGCAATCTACTGTTCTTGAGTCCAATCTGGTTGACATTGAATAACCTTTCTACTAACCACTGTTCACCTGTTTTACAAGCAAAAGTGACTGACAATTCTGCAATATGTCCATCCCTAAAATATCAATGCTTGAGTCCACATCAGAGACAATTGCATTTACTCAGTGAGTGATATTGCCAAGATGAAGTAAAAGACATGCCTATCCAATGATGTCTCAATTTTTTTATTGGCTAGAATAAAATGTTTATTAACTGGCAGAAGTGATAGCTTCCCTCAGAGTATTTGATATACAGCAAAGTTGAATAAAGACCTGACAGCTACAGTATCGACTCAAAACTTATCTTCATATTTATACATCATGTATTACTAAACTAACTACTGTGAAACTGAGTGAAGCCTACTGGTGCACTTGGCTGACCTGTTGGTCAGATTCAACTCAGGCTCTTCTACTTTAAACTAGCTAAAGCAGCTACAGCCATAGCTTGTCATCAATCCTCCTGCATCTGTTGCAGAGTAAGTCTAAATGGTCCTCGTGTCCAATAGCTCTATCTTGCAACAGATAATGAGAATTCTTGTAGCAGTGTTCATGTAAGCCACAGTTGAAGCATGTTCCTTCCCTCATATTCTTAGGGCCTCTGAGAGTCAAGCCCCTTTTACACCAGTAATGCAGACATAACAATTGGGTATGAATAACTTCACTGTCCAACCTCGAGCCATGGTGCCTTGGAGAATATAATTCAATGTAGCTGGTGGATCAGGTGGTCAACACATCTGTCGAGTCTTGGGGCTATCCAAGACCCTTCAGGCTGTGTTGAAGGCAACCAAAATCTGCAGTTGCAGTTGCTACATTCTTTGACATAACTACTTTGAACTTAATGTTAAACTTATTGATTAGAACTCTTTAGTAATCACTAGGAGACATTCTCGTGAATGCCTTCCCATACAACATCCTTATATCATCCACATAAATGACCAAGTTATCAATCAGCCTTTGAATTCATGTTTCGAACTCGGCCCTGTGAGTTGTTCAGATATCCACAGGAGTGAATCTGTAGTGTCATTCATAGGCAACTGTATCTCAATTGTTCAAGTGCTCTTAGCTTTCAAGGAATAGGCTATATAAACTAAGCACCAAACATTGCACCATCTTTTCTTGAGTCTGTTTGTATCCTAAACATTGTGCTTGAAATGTTTAAGGAAATTGTCCACACTCCCTTTCAATGTTCTGTTAAGCACTAATGGATTCATCTGTTTGACATGAAGATAAAACCTCTACTGCTGTGTGGCTGAGATGCTGTTAGCATTTGTAGGAGAGTCTCATCTTACCCCAAAATTCCATTTTTGGACAAAGTCTGGAGTAATATGCCATGATGCCTAGGGACATCTATAATCCTAATATTCTGTGTCAGTTTCAGTCGCTACATGCAATCTCAGAGTATTATCAGTAGGTATTACCAGTTAAGAAGACATCTGACTACCCCAAGGATCAATTGGATCATGACAAGATGCTGGTTGCTCTTCCTGATGGTGTTATGGCACTTTGCAGCATAACTTTCCTCTTGCCACTCTTCTCAGCCACAGGTGATTTAAACTGAAATGCATGTGCTAATTTCTGAATACCCTGAACTCCTCCCATAGAGGTAATCCCAAATAGTTTTGGGACATTCAGACTGTTTATCTTCATCATGACTCTCTTTGCCACCTGTGTTCCTGCATTTAGAAATCAATCCTCAGAGGATGCAGAACAGTAACTCGGCAGTTTGAGTTCCCCTGAGATAGCTCGAGAACATGGACAAAGCTCTTCATTTAACAGAGTGCCTCTTCTAGTCTTTACAATATTCTCCAGTCGTGTTATAACCTCCAATGCAGCTTCAACCTCTCCCGGTTCCCTGAAGTTCTATTAATTCTCTCAATTTCTATGTTTTTCGCGTAATTACCCTCCGCGTATGTGTGTGTGTTTCCGCGCACGTATCTCAAAAACTAATAGACCGATGTACACGAAAATTTTACACAAGATGGCAAGTTAGTATGGAAAATTCCTCCCCAAATTTGGTCCGATCCAAATCTGGATCAGGATTCCGGATCACTTTGAATCATTTTTTATAATGGGGAGATAGGGCATTTTCACAATTTTCTGTTAAAAACTCTAAAATGTGATTGGATTTGTACCAAATTTCATGGACACATTAAGGTTGAGACACATTATAAGATTACAAAAAATGATCCGGATCGTTAATCATTCTGGATCTGAGAAGGATTTTCTGAGTTTTCGAAAGTGAAATTTGACGTTATCTAATATAAACGCGTGTAATCTCGATAAGCAGCGGCAGGGCGAGAGTATGAAATCTCTCTGATTGCTGTTGTTTGGGTTTGTTTTGCTTGCCTGTATGCCGAAATTATCCGTATTTTTATTGTTACTCTTCTTTTTTTGTTTTATTTTTCTGGATGCTTTAATCCTTAATTTTCAAGTTAAGTGTCTTGACTTTCTGGCAGACAGTATTGGAACACGAGCGTGAAAGGTATGAAAATGGATAAATATTTGATATGATGATTGATGGGACTGATTATAGTGAAAATGGTAATTTACTTATCACTGATGATTATAAGGACTCCAAATCACTGGAGAGAAAAAAGAAGTGGTAAAGTTCTTGGAATGCACAGAGAAGTAGTCCTTCAAACATTACTACTGATTCGCTAGTATTGACACTGTTAATTATTCATGGCAAAGTGCTCCATGCTAAGTTTCAGAATGTTGTTTGCTATGTCTAATATCATGCAAAACTACTCAAGGGCTATTTGCACTAGCTTTCCCTATTTTGAAGTAATGGTCTAGACAGAAGTTGGCTATTCAGCACTACCCACTGCCAACTCGTGGGCTATTCTATTTGAACAGTAGTATTTGACCAACACTCTTATAACTCACTCATAGCCTCAAAATGCAGAGCTAAATCATTTGGCAGTAACAGAAAGTGAGAAATAGAAACTCAGATGCACAATTTAGCACATTAATCACTAGATTGCACCTGCCCGTTTCAGAATGTAAAATTGCCTCTGTTAGTATAGTTCATCATTCTGAAAAGGATAACTTCCTACAAAGGCAACGTAGATGCTTACGTGTTTTGAAAACACAATACATGGAGCTTCAGAATATCAAAACAACACTGTTCATACGTATGCCATGTTTTCTCGTATTTATCTAAGAGGAATAAGAGGTTTATGCACAGATTACAGTTCAGTTTGAACAACAGTAACAATACTGGCTATGTGGTCTAGTGTAAGTTGTCACAACTTATATATTTAGTGCAAATAGAGACTCGCACTTTATGGTCAAAATGAAGAATTTGGCTCATTTTACAATGGAGAAATTTTGGGCATTATAGAACTACTTGCAACGTTTGATACTTTTATGATTACCATATGAACATATTTAAAGATGAAGGCAAAGAGACATCTTCATATTTAACACCCTCAGTTTGAGATGAAACCATGTGGTTGTTGGACCATAAGGTTTTGTTAGCTGTTGTCGCATAGGAAAAGTCAGCAAAGTACTTTTCAAATATTGTAGACTCCACATTCCAGATATCTCACAAATGAAATGTATACCAT